GAAATAAAAATAAATGAAATGAACAAATGGAAGCAAAGGTGCAGCAGCTTCTCTCACGGGACACAGGTACACAGGTGCACGGGGTCACCAGCAGCAGCAGCAAAAGTAGCATCAGCAGCAGCAAAACAGCAGCAGCGGCAGCAAAAGTGGAATCTGCAGCAGCAGGAACAGCAGCAGCAGCAGCAGCAGCATTTGAAATTACCTCCAGGAGGTCCTGCTGCAGCCGCGGGTCTGAGGCCTTTGCTTGCTGCCTCCCCAAGGCCTGAATAAGAGAAGTGAGAAGGGCATCTGGCAGCAAATCTAGTGCAGACACGGCGGAGTCTGCCGCTGCTGCTGCTGCTGCAGTTGCTGCTGCTGCTGCTGCTGCTGGGGGCTGCGTAGCAGCAGCAGAGGCGACAGCCACAGCAATCAGATCCACCAGCCGCTGCGTGTAGCAGTCTAGGCGCGTCTCTAGCAGCAGCAGCGAGTGCAGCAGCTGAAGCAGCTGCAGCAGCTGCGATCCGCTGTCACCAGCAGCTTCTCTTGCTGCAGCTGCAACAGCAGCAGCAGCAGCAGCCCCTCCCCAGGCTTCCTTCGTTGCTGCAAGGATCCACGCAGCGCGGTCGGCTGATCGCGCTGCTTTTGCTGCTTTTGCTGCTGCTTCTGCCTTTGCTCCTGCTGCTTCTGCTGCCGCTGCTGTGTCTGCTGCTGCTGCTGCTTGCGCTGCTGCTGCTGCTTCTGCTGCTGCCGTTTGCTGTGCCAATGCTGCTGCTCTTGGAAGGCAAAAGTACACAGCGCGAGATGTTATATGATGAGCTAGGCAGACGCAGACAGCAGGAGCAGCAGCAGCAGCAGCAGCAACAGCAACAGCAGCTTTTCGCGTCTCGTCTTCTGTAAGAGAGCGGCTTCTCCAAGTCAGCACGTCCAAAATGCTGCTGCGAGCAGCAGCAGCATCCCAGCTGCTGCCTGCTACTGCTGCTGCTGCTGCTGATGCTGCTGCTGTTTCTGTTGCTGCTTCTGCTGCTGCTTCTGCTGCTGCTGCAGTGGCCCCGCCCTCAGCTACAGCGTCTACGCTGCTGTGGCTCAGATCCCGTGCTGCATCCACCTCCTCTGCTGCCTCTAGCTGCTGCTGCTGCTGCTGCTGCTGCCGCTGTGCTGGGGACGGTTTCTGCAGCAGCTGAAGAAGTTGCAGCAGCCGCAGCAGCTCGCTGTTGCTGATTGCTGTGGTTGCTGCTGTTGCTGCTGCTTCTGACAGCAGTAGCTCTCTCGGCACACGAGCTGCTGCTGCTGCTCCTGTTGCTGCTGGTGTTTCTTCTGCTGCAGCAGCAGCAGCAACACCTAACGCGTGCTGCCTTCGCGCTGCACTTCTCTTCCCTGGCAGCGCATACCCTTGGCTGCGACTCTTGCTGCTGCTGCTGCTGCTGCTGCTCTTCCTGCTGCTGCTGTTGCTGCTGCTGCTGCTGCTTGGATTTAGGGGAAAGAGCTTAAAGACACGAGTCAAGGGGGCCCCACAGAGAGCCCCCAGGTGCTGCTGCCACCAGCTAGGCAGCAGCGGCAGCAGCAGCAGCTCTTTTGTTGCTGCTGCTTCGAAGTAGAAGTGTTTCGGAATTGTCTCTTCCAGAAGCAAGACCCGTCGGCGGTACGCGGCGTCATCGTCCGCAGCAGCAGCAGGGTCTTCTGCTGCTGCTGCTGCTCCTGCTGCTGCTCCTGCTGCTGCTGCTGCTGTTCCTGCTGCTGCTGCTGCTGCTGCTGCTGTTGGTGTTGCTGCCTTTTTTGCTGCTGCTTTCTCTTCATCTTCAGAGGCTGCAGCAGCTTCCCGCAGGACTGCTACAGGGCCTTCTCGCTCAGCTGCACGTGCTGCTGCTGCTGCTGTGGGAAGAGCAGCAGCAGCAGCAGCAGCAGGAGCAGCAGCAGCAGCAGTCAACGGGTTCACGCCTATGCACGCTGCTGCCATCTGTCTTGCTTCCTGTCTCAGCGCGAAAGAAATGCTGCGCCAAAAGTCGTCAGCAAAGTCCACTAAAGAGCTGCTGCTGCTGCTGCTGCTGCTGCCGCTGCTGCTGCTGCCGCTGCTGCGGTTGCGGCTGCTAGAGGAGCGCAGCAGCGCCACGACAGCCACACGCAAAACAACTGCAGGGGCAGCACCCTCCTCGGTTAGCTGCTGCAATAACGCAGGCTGTCTTGCCGCTGCTGCTGCTGCTGCTGCCGCTGCTTCTTCAGGTCCTGCTGCTACTGCAGCAGCAGCAGCTGCTGCTGCTGCTCGTCTGCCTGGCCTGCGCCTCCCGCAGCGGGCCTCCGAGTGCTGCTCTCCTGTTGCGGCAGCGCCTGCTGCTGCTGCTGCTGCTGCTGCTTGCTGCGTAGCAACAATGCGCTGTGTAAGACAAACCTCAGCCAGCAGCGCCTGCAGCAGCAGCGGCCGCAGGTGCTGCGTCTCTTGCTGCTGCGCTGCAGCTTCTACACAATCTGCTGCTCGGGCCCAAACCAGCTGCCGCAGCAGCCACCGCCTCATGCGTCTTCTTGCTGCTGCTGCTCTTGCTTTCGCCGGAGCTGCTGCTGCTGCTGCTGCTGGGAGGGCAGCCGTTGCTGCTGCCTGCAGCAGCTCTTCAATTTGCTCCTGGAACTGCGGGGGGCGCAGAGCAGCAGCAGCAGCTGCCGCAGCAGGAGTGTCAGCAGCAGCAGCAGCAGCAGCGCGTCTGTAGCGGCAGGGGGGGTGCAGCAAAGAAACTGATCGCAGCAGCAGCGGCAGCAGCAGCGCTGCAGCACGAAATAGCTGCTGCTCTTTGCATGCAACCTGCAGACACAGTCCCCACACTTCGTTGCTTTTGCTGCACTTAGAAGCAGTAGCAGCAGCAGCGGCAGCAGCAGCGACAGCAGGAGCATATCGGCAACAGTACCAGTGAACACTGCAGCAGCAGCAGCTGCAGCACTAGCAGCAGCAGCACAAGCAAGAGGTGCACCTAGAGACCCAGCAGCAACGAAGGAGGCAGCAGCGGCAGCAGCAACGCCGTCGCGCAGCCACCTACAGCAGCAGCAGCAGCAGCAGCAGATTTATACCTCAAGGATAGCAAGTTGCTGCTGCTGCGGCGCAGCCAGAAGCAGCCGCGAGAGCACTGCGGGTCTCTCTTGACAGAGCAGCAGCAGCACGCGTCGTATGGCGAGGTGCTGCTGCTGCAGCTGCTGCTGCAGCAGCTGCTGCTGCTCGTCCAGCTGCTGCTGCTGCCCATCTTGCTGCGGCCCATCCTTCTGCTTCAATTGCTGTTGTGGCTCTTGCTGCTGCTGCTGCTGTTGCTGCTTCTGCTGCTGCTGCAGGCACAGGGTATAGGCCTTTTTTAGGAATCGGCCCACGCAAGACTTCCGCAGTCCACAGAGCCGCGGCAGCACTTTCGAATCTGCTGCTGCTGCTGCTGCTGCT